TAACTCTATTTTGCAGGATCTGCGTAATATAGATGTTCAAGTTTATGACGAGGATGCTGCCCTAATCCTGCTGGTTTCTTTGCCGAGTTCATATGAGAATTTTGTTGATTCTTATATTGCTGGTAAAGAAAGCGTGTCGTTGGAGGATGTCAGGTCTGCTCTTCATACGAGAGAGATCAGACAAAAGGCATTTGGATCTGGTACAGGTGGTGAGGCATCGGGTTTGGCTGTTACAGGTGGAAAGGGAAAGAAGAAATCTGGTAAAGGGAATTCGAGCAAGAATTCCAAGGGTCCCGGTCCACAGTCAGGTGATGCTTGTCACAACTGTAAGGAAGTGGGGCATTGGAAGTACAACTGTCCCAAGAGAAGAGGGCAACAGAAGAAACAAGGTTCAGTTGCCGTGGCAGAAGTGGACAACAGCTCTGAAGACGATCTCGCCTTGGCTGTAGATGAGAAGGCACATCGTGGTGATGTGTGGTTTCTGGATACTGCAGCCTCATATCATATGTCTCCGAACAGGGATTGCTTCACAACCTACGAGCAGATAGATGGTGGTAACGTGGTCATGGCTAATGGAGCTGTCTACAAGGTTGTTGGAATCGGGTCCATAAAGGTTCGGACACATGATGGTTCATTCTGTACCGTGAATGATGTCAGGCATGTTCCACGAATGACAAAGAACCTGATCTCCTTGAGTCTACTCGACAGCAAGGGTTTCAGCTTCAAAGGAAAAGGTGGAGTTGTGTATGTCTGCAAGGGTTTGAGGAAGGTACTGAAAGGCGTGAAGCGTGGGACCTTGTATGCATTACAAGGGTCTGTGTTGTCTGGTTCTGCTGCAGTTGCATCGTCTCAGGTTCAACAGGAAGATATGACCACTCTCTGGCACATGAGACTGGGGCATATGAGTGAACGGGGGATGCAAGTTCTATCGAAGAGGGATCTTCTTTGCGGGCACAAGGTGCAGAATTTGGAATTATGTGAGCATTGTGTGTTTGGGAAGCTACATCGCAGGAAGTTTCCCAAGAAGGGTATCCACCGGACGAAGAGGATACTAGATTACCTCCACTCTGACTGTTGGGGTCCTTCACAAGTTGAATCCATTGGAGGCAGCAGGTATTTTCTGTCTATTATTGATGATTATTCGAGATTTACTTGGATTTTCATAATGAAGCAGAAAAGTGAGGCTTTCACGAAGTTCAAGCAGTGGAAGACATTGGTGGAGAATCAGACCGGTAAGAAGATCAAGAAACTGCGAACGGACAATGGTCTGGAGTTCTGTAATTCTGAGTTCAACGAATTCTACAAGGATGAAGGGATTGCCCGTCATCGGACTGTTAGAGATACACCCCAGCAGAATGGCATTGCAGAAAGGATGAACCAGACATTGTTGGAGAGAGCACGGTGCATGCTCTCTAATGCTGGACTAGAGAGAAGATTCTGGGCAAAAGCAGTAAACATGGCGTGCTTCCTGATCAACCGTGGACCACACACAGGAATCGAGTGTAAGACTCCTTATGAAGTGTGGTATGGTAAGCCTGCTGATTACTCTTCACTGAAAGTTTTTGGGTGTCCTGTTTATTATCATGTGGATGAGGGTAAACTGAACCCAAGGGCAAAGAAGGGTGTATTTGTGGGTTACGGAGATGGAGTTAAGGGATTTCGAGTCTGGTCTCCTTCTGAGCATCGAGTTATACTTAGTAGAAATGTGATATTTGGTGAGAAGTCTATGTTTAACCCCATGTTGAAGGTTACTGTTGCTGAAGGTAGCATGAATGTTGATAAGCAGGTGGAGCTGCAAACTCTCAATGAGAGTGAGTTTGAGCACCAAGGTGGAGAAGATCAACATGATGAGGATGTCTCTGCAGAGCCAGAAATTTCAGAGTCCTGTGCACGAGCTAAACAGTCTATTGCTTCCGGTAGACCGAAGAGAGCGACTGCAGGAGTACCTCCACAGAGGTATGGCTTCGAGGACATGGTGGCGTATTCATTTCAGGTTGCTGAGGAAGTGGATGCAGGAGAGCCACAGTCCTATAGAGAAGCAGTTTCGGGTGGTGAAGCTGATCAGTGGCTTGCCGCAATGGGAGATGAGATGGAATCCCAAGACAGGAATCAGACTTGGGAGCTAGTCAAACGACCACAGGGAAGGAAGATTGTTACAAACAAGTGGATCTACAAGAAGAAGGAAGGAATCACTTCTAAAGAGGGCATGAAATTTAAAGCTCGGGTGGTTGCACCAGGCTTCTCGCAGAGGGAAGGAGTTGACTACAATGAGATTTTCTCACCAGTGGTCAGACATACTTCGATCAGAGTGCTACTAGCAATAGTGGCACATTATGACTTGGAGCTCGAGCAGCTAGACGTGAAGACAGCTTTCCTACATGGAGAGTTGGAAGAAGAAATTTACATGACTCAGCCAGAAGGATTCGAGGTTCCGGGAAAAGAAGACTATGTTTGTAAGTTGAAGAAGTCCTTGTATGGACTTAAGCAATCTCCGAGGCAGTGGTACAAGAGATTTGACAGTTACATGCTTGAGCTGGGCTACAACAGAAGTCCATATGATTGTTGTGTATATCACAGCAAGGCAGAGGATGGTTCGATGATATATCTAGTTCTGTATGTGGATGATATGCTCATAGCTGCGAGGTCAAAGTCTGATATCCAGAAGTTAAAGGGGCTTCTCAGTGCTGAGTTTGAGATGAAGGATTTGGGAGCTGCTCAAAAGATCTTGGGTATGGAGATTTACAGGGACAGGTCGAAGAAGAAGCTTTTCTTGTCACAGAAGAGCTACATCCAGAAGATACTGTCGAGGTTTGGCATGTCTTCAGCAAAGCCCTTAAATACTCCTAGTGCTTCAAATGTTCATCTATCCACAGCTTATGCACCGCAGTCAGAGGCTGAGAAGGAGTACATGTCGAGAGTCTCATATGCTAGTGCAGTAGGTAGCTTGATGTACGCTATGGTATGCACTAGACCTGATCTTGCACATGCTGTTAGTGTTGTCAGCAGGTTAATGATACAACCTGGGAAGGAGCATTGGCAGGCTGTGAAGAGGATCTTCCGGTACCTTAAGGGTACACCTGATGTGGGGATTAGCTTCGGAAGTGATACAGAGTGCTTGGTGTCTGGGTATTCTGACTCGGACTATGCCGGAGATGTTGACACGAGGAGATCGATGACCGGTTATGTATTCACTCTTGGGAGTTCTTTAGTGAGCTGGAAGGCAACTCTGCAGTCGACGGTGACATTGTCTACTACTGAGGCAGAGTATATGGCGTTGACAGAAGCTGCTAAGGAGGGAATATGGTTGAAGGGACTGGTTGGTGATCTGGGTCTACATCATGATCAGGCAGTGGTGTATTGCGACAGTTTGAGTGCAATATGCTTGGCCAAGGATCAAGTCCACCATGAGAGGACTAAGCACATCGATGTGAGGTATCATTTCTTGAGGACAGAGAAGAGGATTAAGGTGAAGAAGGTTGGCACCGCGGATAATCCTGCTGATATGTTCACGAAGCCGGTTCCACTTGGCAAGTTCCAACACTGCTTGGACTTGCTGAATGTCTTGAGTGGGTGACTCCGCCCTACGGGGCATTGATGGCGGGAGAGAGAGAAGGAGCAGAGTACATCAGAGATTTCAGAGGAAGAGGATTCAAGTCAAGGTGGAGATTTGTTGATATGACTTGAATCGGACTATCAGCCGCTACGACTGGTAATCGGGGGTCTCGCTGCCCGGTCAGCGAGTGGGGTCCAGGGGCAACGCCCCCGGCCCACGATGTATGGGCTCAATGTTATTTGGGTTCGGGTTCTGGGCCTGGTCTGTACGAGGCCTTGTATAAGTGTCCACCTAGCCCAATTAGTACGAGGCCTTTTGGGAGGACACCCAAGAGTAAAACCGTGCGGGCTTGGCCCAAAGCGGACAATATCGTACTAATTGAGCACCACGGTTTGACAATAACAATCATCTCGCATAGATAAATTCATCTAATAGAATTATCATAAATTTATAACAAGGATCCACATAACAAAAATATATTGGAATGGTATGGGGTCAATGATGAATAGGATATATTTGTGCAAATTGTTTTAGTGTCAGAGAGTGAAAAAAAGTCATGTTTTCTTACGGCTAATTTAATAATTTTGATCTAAATTAGGTACGGATATGTTTAGTATTCTTCAATGTGTACATACATTAGCCTTCCCCCGGTGAAGAATGAGATGCATGGGGGAGTTGATATTCATCAACTACAAGAAGTACACAATGTGGTGAATAGAATTTATCTGCTTAGGGCTGGCACCAAACTATACTTCTCATCTTGCATTCATCTTCAATCTCCTACATGATTTTGGACAAGATTAGACAATGGTCTAGCTAGCTAGGTAGACAGCCAAAACTCCTTTTGCACCTCTTTTTTGTCTGATTAAAACGGAGATATGTATCTTAGACTGATTCTAAGTTTCAACTTAAACCCACTTCAAGAAGAAGCTTGCATGCAGCTCAGTAAGGGGAAGCTGATTGTGATCATTCGACTAAGATACTGACACTTATCTTAAATTCCACTTTATTAGCAGTTATAAGTTCTGTGCATGCCATTGATTGCTTGATTTCTGCCATTTTCAGCCTTGTTTTAGCACAATTAGCAGTTCATCCTAGCTCCACGCATTGCAGTAACTTAGACCCCTTCACTGCTCGGTTCATCCTAGCTCCATGGTTAATTTGCATGCCGTCCCGATCGAAAAGCGAATATGCCCGGAATGATCCGCTGAAGTACTACAACTCTAGAAGCAAAAAAAAAAATGTTGCAGAGACCTAACACCACGTCGCCAAGAGCAGATATCTACACGACAAATCGCCATGCAGAAACTATCCAAACCTTCTCCAATTCGCCCCGCCACGTCTCCAAACCAGAAACCCCACCTCTCCTTTCCGCACTTCACCACACCCAGTTTCCATCTATAAATACCCACCACCATCCCCACTCCAATTCCATCCCATCGCAGCTCCATCACTACTCCTTTTCCCTCTTGGCAAGATGGCGTCCGCTTCCTTGCTCTCTCTAGCGCTCTGCTCCCTCCTCCTCCTCCAAGCCTGCTCGGCCCAACTCGAGACCTCCCAAATCTGGGGGTCCAGGGCCCGGCACAGCATCCGCAAGTCTCAGCAGCAGAACGAGTGCCAATTCCGCCGCATCAACGCCCAGGAGCCCGACCGCAGGATCACTTCCGAGGCCGGCACCACCGAGATCTGGGACGAGAACGACGATCAGTTCCGATGCGCTGGTGTCGCCGCTATCCGCCACACCATCGAGCAGAGGGGTCTCCTCTTGCCCGCTTACTCCAATGCCCCCAAGCTCATCTACGTTGACCAAGGCAAACCCAATTTCCCCCTCTTCCTCTGTTTTTACTCTGTTTTGACTCTGTTTTTGCTCTGTTTTGACTCTGTTTTGACTCTGTTTTTGCATGGCGAATGCAGGGCGAGGGTATCACAGTGCGGCGATTCCAGGTTGCCCCGAAACTTACCAATCCGAGCAGGAGTCCCAATCCCAGGACCCGAGACAAGGATCCAGGGACCAACATCAGAAGATCCGAAAGATCCGACAGGGCGATATCATCGCCATCCCGGCCGGAGTCGCCGACTGGTTCTACAACGATGCTCAATCTCCTCTCGTCCTTGTTCAGATCATGGACACCAGCAACTTCCAAAACCAGCTCGACCAGAACTTCAGGGTAATTAATCGATTGATAGATTAATCGAGTCATGACAATTGATGAGGTTCTGAACTTCTGTTTTTGGGGGGGCGTTTTTTTTCCCCCAGAAATTCTTCCTGGCAGGGAACCCGCAGAGAGAGATCCAAGGGCAGAGGGGACAGCCGGCAAGCCACCTGTACCAGGGAAGCGAGAGGCGAAGAGGCGGCGGTGGAAGCGGCAGCCAGGAACAGCGCTCCGGCAACATCTTCCAGGCCTTCGACGAGCAGTTCCTCGCCGAGGCATTCAACATCGATACCGACCTGGCGAGGAGGATCAAGAACGAGAACGACAACAGGGGTATCATCGTCAGGGTCGAGGAACAGCTCCAGTTCCTGAGCGCCGAATTCAGCGAGGAAGAGAGGGAATCCTCTTCCCGCGGAGGAAGAAGCGGCCGCTGGTCCGCCAACGGCATTGAGGAAACCTTCTGCACCGCCAGGTTGAAGCACAACATCAACGACCCGTCACGCGCCGACATATACAACCCACGCGCCGGCCGCCTCACCACCATCAACAGCTACAACCTCCCCATCCTACAACACATCCAGCTCAGCGCCCAAAAGGGATTCCTCTACAGGGTAAATCTAATCATCCTCCCAAAATTCACAACCTTTTCTTTCTTTCAATTTCATCCAAACGGCGGTTAATTGAATTCAAATGTTCCTGCAGAACGCGATCATGACGCCGCACTGGAACATGAACGCACACAGCATCAACTACATAACCAGGGGAAGCGGGCAGATCCAGATCGTGAACGAGAACGGGGAGAGCGTGTTCGACGGGCAGGTGCAGGAAGGGCAGATCATCACTGCGCCGCAGAACTTCGCGGTGATCAAGAGGGCCGGCAGCGATGGGCTTGAGTGGATTTCCTTCAAGACCAACGACAAGGCCAAGATCAACCAGATTGCTGGCCGGGCGTCGGCGATCAGGGCGATTCCCCGGGACGTGATCGCCAACGCCTTCGCGATTTCCAGGGAGGAGGCGCAGAGGATCAAGTTCAACAGGCAGGAGATTGGGATCTTCAGCCCTGGGACTAGGTCTCGTGGAAGGAGGGACTGATTTTGTGGTCATTGTGTAATCGAAGTAACTATGGTAAAAGGAAAATAAGAGTAGTAACTACTGATAATAAAACCTATGAGCCTTACGGTTATGGGCGTCTGGGAGGGGCGGTTTAGTTCCTCCCTCTTTGTATTTTCGCGGGAAACAAACAGCGTTGCTCTGAGTTTAAATAAATAACACTATGGCTTCGTGTACTTTTATCAATGTGTACTTTTTATCTCCGATTTTGTGAACGGTTCGATATTTAGCGGTTCAACTAGCATTACACAATTTAAAAATCGTTAAAATCGTTAGAGAGCCGGTATCTAATAAACAATCAATATAAGTAGTAGACACTTATTAATTTGGTTATAACCGGTAATCGAACGGTCGGTTATTGGTTAACCGAGAAGCCAGCCGTCCTTACCGCCTAGCGACCGATAGCCTACCTCGGTCAATCGACAACCGACCGATCGATTACCGGTTAGTTGCTCGGTTAATTGAGCTAACCGCAACTGCTCATTTGGTTTAGTTAGAACTGGGTAAACGAACCAGTAACCAAATCGAAACAACCCCTACACGAAAAAGATCGTTAAAATTGCCTAAACTTAAAGTTTCAAACCTATATTTCTACATCTAAAGCACTTTTTCAATCACTTTTGCATAGATTATAGATTTAAATCACCAAGTTAATGTCTCAAATTCTAGAACATAAAGTCATAAACTTCATAAAGTCACAAATTACAATAAATCCAATCCAAATAGCATCAACAAGTCACCAACAAATCATCACTTATCAACAACAGAAGAAGAACCAACATCTACATAACCTTTTTCTTTCAATTGTGGCAAGAGGTCATGACCAAAATCGTCATATCCATCTTTCTCATACTCTTCCTCCGGCACATCTGCTTCACCCTCCTGCTCATTCCCCTCTGGAATGTTCAGACTTGCATCTGTATTGGCAACATTGCCAGTATCACTTGCACTTTCCATTCTAGACTGGAAAGTGGTATTAACCATGGTAAAGGAAACCGTACCGGACATCATACCGGATTCCTTTCTGGTATGATATTTTGTGGTACGACCGTGGTTCAACCATTTTGTACCGGTAAATATCGTTTTTCACTATTGATAGAGAAATGAAATGCGATAGTATAAAAAATATAATCCATCAAAAAAAGAACCAAATAGAGCATTATACAACCACGGTGACCCATTTTCAACATAGAAAAATAGCAAAATAATATTCTTTTTAATTATTTTCCACATATTGGACGAGAATACGGAGAAATGAAGCTGAATCATAGACAGGAAACCGGATCATACCGTCCGGTTCAACCGGTCAAACCGAAAAAACCGGCCGGCAAGGTAAAATCGGCACAATAAGCCCACCGTACCGCATTTGGTCCAATTTCCGGTTGAACCGGTTGAACCGGCCGGTACGATCCGGTTTCCTGGTCTATGGTATTAACCGAGTAAGAAAAAAGAAAACAAAGTGTTAGGATATTCATACATTGAATTAGGTTGAAAGAAAGAATTTGTTTACCTGAACAAACAATAATTAAGAGAGTTTCAGACTTACCGCTTTCCAAATCCATGATCTCTTCATCTTCTTCCCTCTCGTCATTCTCTCCGGCCCCGGTAGTTTGATACTTTATCCAATCCTCTGCACAAATCAATGCCTCCAACATGGTATCACTCAAAGGGGACCTGAATGGACTGAGAATCCGACCGCCACAGCTGATGGGAACAGCTAGGATATCCTTAGCCATCTCAGCAAGAATCGGATATGTTCCAGAGTGTGGAGACCACCAACTCAAGATGTCAAACTTAGGATCATCACTCTCCACATTGATGCCATCAGTTTGACATCTCAAATAGATGTCAAGCTCAGCAGAGCTACCTCTTGTATCTTGCAGAATTGCTTCCCTTTTCCTCTTCTCGAGCCTCTCCTTAAGCTGCTTAATCCTATCACCACCAGCCGTGCTCTCACAAGTGGTAAGCTCAGATGCAGAGGAGGGTGATTTTGATCCATACTTCCCTTTGTAAACCTCAAACAGCTGTCGCATTTCCGACCTTATGCAATCAACAATTTGTCCTCCCTTCACATTCCCATACATCATTGCCAAAACCTCGAACACCATATCAAGTTTACTTTTTGGATCAAGCACACATGTTATATAAATTAAGTGATTCACCTCCATTGTCTTCTCATTCACAACACATGACTCAAACCAATGCTTAATCCTATCACCACCAGCCGTGCTCTCACAAGTGGTAGGCTCAGATGCAGAGGAGGGTGATTTTGATCCATACTTCCCTTTGTAAACCTCAAACAGCTGTCGCATTTCCGACCCAATGCAATCAACAATTTGTCCTCCCTTCACATTCCCATACATCATTGCCAAAATCTCGAACACCATATCAAGTTTACTTTTTGGATCAAGCACACATGTTATATAAATTAAGTGATTCAGCTCCATTGTGTTCTCATTCATAACACATTACTCAAACCAATACTTTTGTACCTTTTTCTCAACCTTCTCAGCCATCATTTGGATCTCTTCATGCAGATCATTCTTCAATTGCTCAATGATGTCATATACCGGAACAAGCTTCTTGAAGAAGATATGGGTAGTCACATATTTAGTTCATGTACAATGAGAAGATAACACAGAAGATTAGATTAAAACAAATAGAAATGGTCCAATGGTTAAATTTTATAAATAAAACAATGCAATTCAGAAATTTCACTTACCAGATACTAGAAGGGTCAAGTCATTGAAGACTTTCAAATAGTCTTTCAACTTCCTAATCAGCTGCCAATCTTGAAATGTTGGAAGCCCACCTCTTGAGTCAACATAATCTCTAAGGGAATGATCGTGTGGACTTGAATACAAAGTTGTAAACACTGCATCAAACCTTTCTGCTGACTCTAACATGGTATAAGTGGAGTTCCACCTAGTCGGTACATCCAAAGACACCAGTTTGGTTGACTCCATATGCAGAAATTCCATGGCATTCTTGAACCGTGACAACCTAGCTAGTTAAGACCTCACCCACTTCACATAGTCCCGAACTCTGTCCACAGTATCACCAACCACTTTCAGACCATCTTGTACCAACAGATTAATGATGTGTGCCACACATCGAAACTGCAGAAACTTCTCATCCATCAAATCACACCCTCACTCCTTTAGCTTCGTTCTCATGCACTCATTGAGAACATCATTTGAAGTTGCATTGTCCATGGCCATGCAAAACAGATTCTTCACCTTCCACTCTTCAAGAACTACTGCAAGCTTCTCTGCAATATCAACTCCAGTATGACTTGTGATGGAAACAAAGGATATCACCTTCTTATGCAACTTCCAATCACCTCCAATAAAGTGAGCAGTCACACACATGTAATTCTTGTTGTTATCAGAAGTCCATGTATCAATAGTGATTGAAACTCTTCCTTGGCTCCTTGATTAAAAAAAAATCAATTAAAACCACATTTTTATCCAAGAATATATGATAGCAATCATCTCTTATAGCTTTCCTCCCAGGTATCCTAAACAATGGCTGAACAACAGACATGAATTGCTTAAATTCTTCCCTCTCCACAAAGCGAAATGACAACTCATCCATAATGATCATCATGGTTAATGCATATCTAGCTTTTCCCTGATCAAACATCCATAAACCACTTAGTTAACCACCATCTGATGTCTGCAATACTGTCTGATTTTTTGTTGCTCCCAACTTAGCCAAACATGAGTGCTTGTGGTTATTCATTGCAGTGGTCCCATTTTTGGAAGGATGACTTTGATTAGAGTATGACAATGTATGCACTCTCCCATCGGATAGTCGTCAACTATTACCTTCTTAAACACCTTCCAACAAGGAGCTTTACCCTCCGTCTTCAACCATTTCTCACAGTAAAAAAGGTCTCTTATAACTGTCTCTGAATCAGGAGCAGTTGTGTCAGCGGAAGGAGTCTCGGCAAGTGTACTTCCACTATCTTCAGGGGCGGGAATCGATGGAGTTGATGAAGACGGTTCAGCTTCAGCTGCTTGAACAGGTCGACTTCCTAAACGCCCACCACGACCCTGGGTCTGAACAGGAGGAGCCGCAGGTCTCCCACCACGACCTCGAGGAGCTGGAGGTCTCCCACCACAAGGAGCAGTCGCAGCAGTAGGGGCACCTCGTCCACCACGAGAAGCCGGAGGTCTCGCCCTACAGATACTCAGTTATCACTTCAAAGAAATTCTAACATATTCTAACTAAGAAATAAGAATCATAACTCACACAGTCACACTAATATACATTATAAATTACAAGCATCAAACTCATCATCAATCATCATTCATATTTCATCATCAACACAAACATTATCAATTCATCATCAACTCACACAACCACGAACCATCAATTAATCATCAACTCCTATTAATTTACACAGGCATCATCAATCATTATTCAAAATAGTGAAAAACTTACATTAATTTCACTTTTGCACGTGCGCTGTTAGGGGAGGGAGATTTTCACTTTTGTAGGGACCCTATTCAGTGAGGGAGATGGCGGTGCAGGAGCGTTGTTCGCGAGAAGCAGGGTCGCCGGCGGAGCTATCGACGGGGGCGGAGTTGCATAGAGGCAGCGGAGCAGCAGAGCTATCGACACCGACGGACTGCGAGCAGTAGAGCTCTTGACGGGGAGGACTGCGAGCAATGGTGGCGGCGAGGGGGTGATGTCGCGGTGGCGGAGCGAAGGCACTGGTGGGCGGCGACGTTGCTTTCTCGGCGTCTCTGGTTCGTCGCTACGAAGAGGAGATACCGAGATGGGTGGGAGTGGGAGTGGGAGGCAAATCACGAAGGGGGGTGCAGCGACATCGTTTTCAGGGTAAAAATGAGGGGGTTTGCTGTTTCGGTTAGCCGGTTAACCGACGGTTAATCGGCCAACCAACATATCAATTCTCCACCCAACCACCGACCACCCACGTTGATTTTCGGTTATAGGTTAACCAAAAACCGGTA